AATTACTGTTTAAAATGTTATTTCTGTCATAATTTTAGGTTAGGTTTAGGAGACTCGCTATCGTCGGGCTGAGAAAACATTTAGATAGGTAAGAAGTCCTTGAAAGTAGAAGGCAATAATAAAATATGAAAATTGGAGAATTGTGTTCTTCTAGTCTGTAGTATAGAAACCTTCTTTCTAGTACTGTGTTAATACATAATACCGTATTATAGACATTATATTTTTTCTTAGTGACTTAATGTCATTAAAGTTCATTTAATATGGAAATGGAACGAAATCTAGTTCTAGTATGTGTCTATCTAAAATTCCATTACTAATTTCTTAATATACTAGGTACTTAAAAAAAATTCAAATTGTCTGGTTGCATAGTGAAATTATATTGTTATCAGAGGAGACAAATATCTTATCGGTGTATTGCGCACATAATAGATGTATACATATATATATATATATATATAAATATTATAGTACATAGAATAGAACTATATAAATTATAGACAGTATTTATATCGCTTATTAAGTTAAGTTTTAAGTCGACATACTGATAGTCCTTGAGTATAAACATGAACTTTTAATTTAAGATTTTAATGTATCATAAATTAAACGAAAAAAAAAATACGAATAAGTACCAAGTTACAGAAGTAACTATATATCTCAGATAAGCTAACTAACCCAATAGATATATACACAAACGACGAGTTGGAAAAATTAGGCAGAAAAGTTCTAAAAATGAGTATTCCATACGATTTAATGACCTTAAACGTCATATAACATACATAATATGCCAAGAACTACATTACTATACTAGTAGTGCCGACTATATCAATTCAACCACTGCTGTGCATTATAATATTATTATCTATCCTTAGCCATATTTCGAGTTATTTCCAACGAACGGACCGAAATATTTATTATGAATAATACAATTTATCACGTCGCACTGAAACCGTCACGAGCGCTCAACACTCCAAGGTTCATAGGGGAATATTGTTAGGGTTTTAACGAACGGTCATGATTTATGGCTGCGCCGGCGCAATACTTATAATATAACTTATAAGTCGGTAGTCAGTACTATATATAGTTATAATACATATTATGACCGATTCGCAGCAATACAGCGTCGAACGTGTGTGAAATACATACGTCAAGGCAGGTCACGGTCGTAAGTCGTCGCCAACCACGGCATATATTTATAAATCATATTATAAAGACCTAAATGCATCGGTGTGGATATAAACATAATTTACCCGCGATCGCCTAAGATGAAACCATAATGTACTTTATTATTATACAAATGTTTAGGTGTGTACGCCCATCATTACGATGAACGATGACGATGATAGGTGCGGTCCTAACCTATGATGCTCGCGATAATATTATAATAATATAAATTTATTTTTGTGATGTGCGTGAAATAGAACACAATAATACACACGCGCGGGGTTCGGTGGGACGCGGACGAGGACGTAATCCAACTATGGCCTTCAAAATAAAAAGATCTATAAAACTACCGCAGTCGAGGGCTTCGGCGTGTATACTCACGCCGTTTATGAAACATCAGTTATTATATCATCGTCGAGTAGACGGCTGTTAAATTTTTTTTTTCGACGACTCGCCTCGTATAACATGTACCTATATGTTATTACGTCAACGGGGTGTAATGTGTATTAATATTACACAGAGATGGCAACGAGGAAAGAGCTTTTATTGCACTGTAGGTACAACACATTAACTTATTATAAATCGCGTATCATCAACATCGGCTGCTACGAATATTATGTATGTATATATTCATATACGTACATAATATATGCGAAGTCCAACTATTGCCATAAATATTGAAAAAAATAAAATATATAATAATTTTACCGAATCGTGTACTATCTTTGACATTAGGTTAAACGGGTTTTCCTTACCCTGAGGGCTAAGATTTATGTCCAAAGGATTCGAATTATTTCAACGAAAGTGAAAAATGCAGACACACCGTTCCATCTAAAGCTCCAACCAAGCGTGTCGACATTAATCGACAATGGTGATAATCTAATTATTGCGGTACACGATTATTAAACCGATCCGAAAACGGATTGTTGATTAACGACTATTTTACGCGACAAATCGACGATACCCAAATCGCGTTATTGGATATAACGGCTGTTGTGAATGGCGGTTTAGCCAGTTTATCTAGATACTTTTATAATATAGTGCCCGGTAGAAGACATTCCGAAGGTGTGACTACACGCCAACTATACAGGGTGTTTCTTCACGATGATTCTCTCTCAGACACACGGTCGCCCACTAAAACCACTTCTCTACCCATCTCCCGCAAAAAATTTAAACGTACAAATATTATTAATATTGGCGGCCTATTTGATTTCTTAATGAAAAATTGTAATAATTTTACTCTTAAAACATTTACATACCTACTAAGTCAATTAATTCTGCAAATGGGCCATCTTCGATCATTGAGAAACGCGAATAAAACAATTACTTAAAGGTTTAAAAGACATTCTGTTTAGTACCTAATACCTACTATAGATTTAAATTATTATGGATTTCTAATTACGAAATATTTTGTAAAATAATAAAATGACCTGTCACGATGAATCACCAACTTTTAACTACTTTATGGGAGGTGCATTTTACATTTTATGATGCGGTACAACATAATATAATATTAATTTGAGGTCATAATACGGCGAGTCTGAATATAGTTCGAATCTCAAGGGGGATAAAAATAAATTCGATTTATGTACTTTTCTCGTTATACCTACACCTCAAATTATAACTTATACTCAACGGGGGGGGGGGGAGCATTTGAGATATCATGGTTCGACAATATTTTTTACAGCTAAATTGTTTCAGAAAAACCAAATACGAACCGTCGTGGTCAAGTACATGCTGCCTATCGCAATGATTAATGAACGATAGTAATATTGTACATACGAAAGAAAAAATACAAAGCGATTTCCACCGGTACGATTATGGCGATTTCACGTTGTTAGCGAGGGCGCTTTTTACAGCAGCGACAAATAAAGAGAACATAAAACCTCCAAGGATAATAAGAATATGAACATAAATAGGACAGCTCTATACTTAAAATACATGGTATACTAGTGCGGTAGAAGTGTCTACTAGTTAACACAATATAACGGTTATATGTGGTTTTGAATACTAGTGAAAGAAAACATTTTATCAATTCGCTATCTGCCATAAGTTTGAATTCAATAAACTTCAATATTAATAATTAATAATAATTTTCTATAATACTATCTGCCGGATTGAGTCTTAAAGTTATTATTCCACATATTAACATAATTTAATATTATTACCAGTGGTGAGGATACAAAAACCTTAATTTTTGCATGTAACCACTTTGGTTACTAATATTTAGTCACACTTGAATACGACATTACAAAGAGTGTCCTATTTTTGAATATTTTATCATAATTGTATGAAAACCTCCCGGATTCGAATCGTCGAGTACATTGGGCCGACGTAAATCAAAACGCATCGAGTGTCAGGACGGTTTGTTCTGCTTCGATTCCCAGAAAATGTCCATTACCTCGACCGCCGGACATGATAATTTATTAGTAAAATAAATGCGCTTTTTCGTCGTAAACAAGAGGCGAGCACCGGCGGACCGGACCGGACCGTTGCGGCGCGTGGAACGAATACAAAACAATGCCTACTATGATACCGCGTAAAAAATAATATGACGTACGCGCACCGGTGCACAGTGTGTATATTGTACTTGTTTACTTATTTTATAGTAATTATTACAATATAATTCCGATGGTCGTTTCCACTGATGGGCTCGGTGTACACGGTCCAATGTGTTCGATTACAATAACGTCATTGGTCGTCGTTGTACGTGTGGCACGCAACCTAACCTAACCTAACGCACTACTAACTAATTATCGTGGCAATAAGTAAATGTTACCATCGGGCCCCGACGCAGGTAAATTATAATTAAAACTATGGTTGTACTGGTTCGATGTGACCATTATGCCGTCGTTTTCGGTATCGTACGACGCGACAACAGTTCTATCAGATTGAAAAAAAACGTTTCGAGTCGTGCGCGGCTAAAACCGGCGGCGGTAGGCCGGTTTAGTCACGGTCAGTAAAGTCGATGCCGAAAATGTGATAACAATAATAATATTAGATATAATATTATAAATCGAGCCGAGTAACAATCCGAAACGATGACGTACGACAGTTTATCGGCGAGGGTATCATCTGCGGAAAGATCGATTTAACAACGGTTCGGTTGGTTGCGGTGGATAATTTGATAAACCATTTTGGCGTCGGCGGCATTAGGTTTTTCATGAAATTTCGCCGGTCGTCCGATCAATCGATCTATTTCGTCGATGGACACGGCCAACAACAACGATAACCCGATAGTGTGCAAACCGGATGTCCAGAACTGACGAGGAAGACAAAGGGAAAGAAAAACAACAAGCCGACGGTAATTCGCCCGAGCGATAACGCTGTCCCAATACCACACCGTTTCTTGTGTACCCAACTGACGAGAATTATGCGTGCGATAAAAATAATATCACCAACTCCGGCGCGCGCGCATTTCGGTACGCGGTATCGTGTTTTATTTTAAACGCTTGGCGTGTAACGATTTTTCAGCGCTTTCTTTCGCTATCGGAACGGAACGATAGCGAAAAAAATAACGACAATAAAAGTCGAAACAAACCGCGATCGGGTCGTCGTCGCGTGTCGTACCCATATCCGTCATTGTCGAATAGTCGTCAACTATTATTGCCCGTTACCGTGATACCCGTCGATAATGCCGTATTATATTTTGTGCGATACATGTCGTCTCGCCGCCGGGGGGAATTAACGTTAATCGAGTCATAACTGTAATGCCGAGAAAATCCTTTAGGCCTTTGAGTAGGGGATGAACAGAAAAACGGCAGCCGCAATAAAGGCCGAAAACACAATATTTTATTATTAACAACCGCCTACGGCGCGTCGGATTTGTTTGGTCTCACCTTTGGGTCGGCGTCGCCAGTACGTGCTGCGTGTGGTCGCGTGCGTCTTATAATGAAATCGTTCTAATACTATTATTACTGTGATTTATAACGGCCGACTCGAATGACTGTACACTAGACAAATACAATGATATTATGGTTCTAATTACGAGCGGTACACGAATATCGTCTTCGTCGTCGCCACGCAAACGCCGGTTCACCGTCGCTGTAATCGCGACACGTCTGAACGCCGTCGCGCGAATATCTCGTTTGCGTAACGTCGTCGTCGTGCGCGGACAGAAAATTACATACACTCACGCACGCGCTAGCGAGCTGACGAAAAAAAAATCGTACACACGCGCAACGACGACCGTGCGGTAAGCGGTTAATGAGCGAAAACGCAAAAAAAAAAAAACAAATGCGGGATCGCGGCGGCAGCGACGGCGGCGGCGGGTGTAGACCTCCTCCACTCCTCGTCCAACTACTACTGCCGCCGCCGCCGCGTTCGCCGACGACCGTCCGTTCCCGGCGTGCGCGGAATGCGTGCGTTGCGTACGTTACGACCTCTTACGAGCGCGTACGACGATCGTCGGAAAACGGCAAACCAAAACGTTCCGGCAATAATGATGACGATATTATGATAATAATACTATTATCGTCGTTGTAAAATAAACAGTTTTTGTTTTTTTATCTTTCGTTTTAATAATAATTTGTTGGAGTCCTCCGTGGCCGATCGGCGATTATATTATTATTATTATTATTATTATTACTTCCCAACGAGTATTAAAACTATTGGCCGCTGCCAGTCGCTCGCTGGCCGGTCAGCCGGACGGCTCGTTATACAGCTCGTACGACCGCCCGGCCACCTCGGCGGCCGCGCCCTACCGCATATCGTTCTGTTCACCCACTCGTCGGCCGGCCTATCACACCTCTCCACCGCCCGCGAACCACGACTTGTGAGTGTGTGTCCGTGTGTGTGAGCGCGCGGGCGCGTTTAACCGGCGGCGGCAGCGACGACGTTCCCACTCCCCACCCGCCCGCCAGCCTTTCATATCTGCCACCGCGGCAAATCATTGCAGCCGGGCCGCGCTGTCACCGTAGAACCAGTACTGCCAACCTAGGTGTACGCGGTAACCGCAGACGACGTGTGTTGTAAATTTTAAAAGTGTAGACGACTACAACTAGTATAATATACTAGTTTATAGCTGGTCTGTGAGTAGTAGACAGTTAGTAGTAGTGGTGGTGGTAGAAGGAGTCGTAGTTGTTGTGATAGTGGAAGTAGTAGCACAACACCAGTCCCTGCCTTTTGGTAGAGGAGCATAAAAACATTAGTTTTAATAATAATAACATAACAGCAGACTCTCGGCGCACGTGTGTACATTTTATAATGTGTGAACTAATAACCGAACGATTTCGTTTTCGTCATTGCTGTACCTAACAATATTAATATAGCGTACGTAAAAAAATGGGTCATCGAAGCCCTCCGTCACAATATACGATACGAGTTCATAATGTGTGTACAATGCAATAATAACACAAACCACAGACATAATACTATTACTATGCATATCGCGGGAGGTATATTTTCATGCGCAAACGATCATCGTTCCGCCACCGATAAAACTTAAAACTGTCCGGCGCGGCTTTCGGTTCGGCTGATGGTAATTCGTTTGGACGCGACGTGTAAACGATATTATATTGTTAAAGCGCATCGCAGCAATTACTACGATACACGGGCTGTTGGTGATTCTGATTTTTGCAATAATTAATTAATTAATAATAGTAATAATAATATCGCCGCCTCTTGACTGTCACTCAGAAGTGCCGACGGCACCGTCACGCTGGCTGCCCGTGACGTTTATCGACGTGTAAATGGCCAGCGGAAAAGTGGACGTTGCACACAGCGAGTCGCTGCAGATCGCAACCGCCGACGATCATTTCGAATTTCGCACGCCGTTCCGTATTTTATGACGGTATTATGATACGTTCGAATCACTACGCTCGGCGGCGGCAATGAGTTACAAATACAATAATTATGATAATATAATTAATAAACATTAAACATCGCTCGGTAATATTGTCACTATTGTCTGATGTCGATTAGTCGTCGTTTTTTGCTCGAAACTCGGAAATCCCGGAACCGCGGCCCACTGGGTAATCCACGCGAATTTAATACTATTACATTACACGAAACACCGCTGTTGTTGGACAGTTATTAAAATATTTAGATATTTTAATTTAAACTTTTCTCGCGCGCCGCCGGTTTTATGCGGTAAGCAGTTGACTATTTGCTCAAAACGCACTAAATCGGTTCGGTCTCTCGCCTACTCATCCCGAATCACTCCGTCACGCCTGACCGTATATATATATATCCGAGTATTATATTTTGTTATTTGCCCGCCCGTAGGCGGTACACAAAATGGTCTTATAAGCTTTGTACGACTGTATCCGCGACATTAATACAACAATAATATTGTATTGTGTTTCTATCGTCGGACGCGAAAAATTCTCGCACGTACTACCTATAATATAATACACGCGGACAATATACTGCATTAGGTGCAATGCGCACACACGATAATATATTACAATAATTATTATTGTTATTATTATTACGCCAGTGTAGACAATATATTATATTACAATATTCAAATATTGTGGTAATTTGCGCGAGTGGTCTCTATATGGGCACCTAACTAGATACCTACGCGTGTATAATGGTCGGTTAACGTGTAAAATGTCTTAACACAATAATGAGTAACACCTCCTAATTATCTTGCGGATTGTTAACTTTTGTTGTGCTAAAGTTTTTTAGAAACAAAATAATTGCTTTCGAAAACATGTGGGTATTTAAGCATAGATTTCGGTACAAATACGAGTATACGACGACTATTATACCTACCTAGCACGTTTTATAATAATGCAATAAATTATTATACGCAGGGTATTAATTAGGTACCGGCTTTATGCCTTTATGTACGGTGTGACGAGGGAAAACAATCTTAATAAAACTTCAAAGAGAACTTAAAAAAAAAAAAAAATATAGTTAAATTTAATTAAAAATAATCATGATATTATTATTATATATAAATGGGTTGTAAAAAATAAAAATAAAAATAATGTTAAATAAAAAAAAACCAAACCCTTTGCTCGGCCAAAGCGCTTTTTGAAAACAAAATAATATGTATTCGAACAAAGAGCAGACGTTATATAATTTTATACAATGTTATCGTATTAATATTTTACTATACAAGGTAAAAAAAAAAAAAACGTTAAAAACGATACCAATAAAACTACGTTGACTAAGTATAATAATATGTGAACGTGTTAACTATATTATAAAATATCAAAAATCGAAAAAAATATCGATGAGTATTAAAGTGTGCCCGTAAAAAAATATCGTTAGAAGGAGTTGATACCTACGACATGTCGTTATGTAGTGGTTATGGCGTTATGGTGTTAATATGTGTCCTATACACCTACCTAACAAAATAATATTATAATAGTTTGGTTACAATCTATTTTGGTTACAATCTATGTACCGTTGCTTGTGCTCTTCGTCCTGATAACAATCGCCAAAAGTGTTATAGGCCAATGCCGATGGTGTGATCTAGTGCAACGGCATCGGTTTGATACGTGCACCCGGCAGCGGAGTACGCCCGCCTCAAATGGTGACCCGGCAGAGGTGCGGTCCGTGTAGGTGGTGCGGGTGGTACGGGGTCGCGGCGTTTTTACATAATAATTTTGATTACTCGGCGGTGGCGATATGTGCACAAAACTATTTGACTATTACGATGCACTTTATATTAAGAAATTCGCAGGATTACTGTCATGAACGCGGGAAATGATTTGCGAAGAAAAAGTAGAGAATTACGATTATAATACGACCGCGACAACTGTGACGATTAGGTACGACGACTACGGCGGGCGCACGTGCGACGACCGCGTTGTAGCACTAGGGCACTGGGGGAACTTTCAATTTCCAATAATCACGTACCCGTGGCTTCAGTGGCCGGTCGCGCGCTATCGCCCCCCTCTCCCACGCTCGCTCGCTAGCTCGATCGCTGACTCGCTCTCCCCGCTGCTAAATTCGCATCATATTATAATGTAATAATAATACACCTATATAGTACGATGATAATATTATAATATGTGACTGCTGACGACCACCACAGCGGACGGCTTATCGCGGGCCGGACGATCGTCACGACTCCCGTCCCGCATAACAATAATAATAATAATAATAATAATAATAATAATAACAATATCGTACACAGCGCACGTATAATAATATTCAAGTATTTGTATGCGAAATGATTTATAATAATAATTATATTTTATCGAATTATATTATACCTATTTTATATATGAATTTTTTTTTTTAAAACGTTAATCATTGAACCCATATTATATATAATTATCTAATATATATCATGAAAAAAAATCAGATCAAATAAACCGATAAATCGTTATTATACTTCTATCATTTTGCACTCGACCTCGAGGTCCCCGGCGAATTTATATTATATTATATAATATCGCAAAATAGAAAAAAATATATTTATAAATATAATCATATATCTATCGTTAATACATTTTATTATTACGGATACAACAACTTAATTTTGATTAGGTACATGTCATACAATATATAATAATGTGTAAAAAAAAATTGTGTCTGAAGGATTTTATACTTACGCGACTGCAGGCGGCGGTCTCGTGTCGGCCGGGAGAACACGGCGGCGGCGATGGCGCGAACGAAAAGGCACCGATCGGACGACTACGACAACGGCGGTTGCGGCCGCGGCGACGATCGTTATATTCGTCGTAGTCGTTGCCGCCGTAGTACGCTCGTAACGTACGCCGCCGCCGCCGCTGCGCACCGCTCGCAGCGCTGCTACCATACGCCGCGTACATTGTCGCGCCCCGTCGTCGGTCAACCACCGCTGCCGTCGCTCGCCCTTCCGCCAGCCCATCCGCCAGCCCGCTCGAAAAACCCGCCGAAGTTTTGGCTGCAGCGAGCGGGTTCGCGCACTAGCGGAAGAGCCGCTTTTCCACGGGAACAACAATATTATGCAGTGCAATACGCACTCACACGGGCCCGCGCTCGCTCAACCCTCTCGTTAGTCAAAGTGGCGCTATGCATAATATTATTCGGCGGCGACGACGACCACGACAGCGACTCCGAAGGCGGTGGCTAAACCAGGGTCGTAGAGGATATTATATTCAGGGGAAGTGCGATGTGGCGGCATGTGAGGGCGATTATCCACGGCAGTTTGGACGGTCCGGCACTTGCTCGATGACGAACGGCCGACGCGCCCCATTGACCCGCTTGGCCCTTCGCTGATTTAATTATTTAGCCCTCTTCCCGTGCACCCGCGCATGTATAATAGTAATAATAATTACAATATGTATACTAGCAGCTCCATAGCATGCTGCAGCTCGCTAACTAATTGATAT